CCCCACACTGCCTCAGCGACAGGCCGGGCCACCCGCACCTACTCCCCAGCCACCGAGCGCCCAGCCTCTCCCGCAGACGCCGTGTGCTCCCCCAGCCCACCCCCCAGCCCGCCTAGCAGGCGCTCCATGCTGTCAAAAAGTAATAGGGATGTAAAATAACAATAAAAGTTTCATTCATTAAAAATTAATTAATTTAATTATAAAATTTACTGGTAAAAGATAAAAAAAATGCCTGGCTCACGGGTGTCTTCTGTGGCGTTCCCCCCAGGGTGAGGCCGAGTCTGCAGCCCCGCGCCCCGGGCTCCCTGCTGGGTGGGGAAGGCACGGGAGGGCAGGATGTGAGGGTCCTCACCCCAGCCCACTGCCAGCGTGCAGGAAGGGCCAAGAGCCCAGGCCCTCGGCTTCCTCACGAGAAGCCAAAAGCCTCGACTTTAACCTGGTTTTTAAAGTTCAGGCCAAATTGATGGATTTTAAACCACCGTGGGAGTCAAAACAGCACATCTTCAGGCAGGATGCTCCAGGGGTCACCCTTCCTGGGAGGGGGTGTGTTTCCTTGCCCTCTACACCGGTGGGAGGAAGGGGTGGGGGACCCCCAGCATTGCACCATCTCATGTGAGTCTCACAACAAAGTTGGGAGTTTGCAGCCAGGAAAACGGAGGCCCCCACTGGGCACCCCCAGGTAGTAACGGGCAGATCACTCCACCCAGATGGACTCCCCGTCATGGTCCACAGTAGGACACCCCAACAGTGAAGCACAAACATTTGCCATGAGTAGGGATCAACTCACTGAGCCCCTGCTGAGACGGAAGCGGAGGTCGCAGGAACCGTGGCCGGCAGGACGGGCTGGCCAAGGCCTGTCTGAGCGCGGGACTAAGCCGTGGGCGGCCAGGTCCTGTCCAACCTTTGTCTACCCTTCGGCCCAGACACTGGCGTGAGACGCCACGTGAGATGTTGGGTCCTGACTGATGATCACCTCACGGGCTCCTGAGGAAGAACGCTGAGAGCCACAGGTGAGTTCAGGGTGACTCTTCTGTGCACCCAGCAGCGGTCCACGCCAGAGCCAACAGGGAGCTGCTCTCCTCTCCTCTCGGGCACCTACCTCTGGACGCTCCTCCTGACTCCCTGCAAGGAGCCAGGTTAATTCTGCTCTCGGCCTGGCTCCCTGGGTCAGTGTCACCCAGCAGTTTCCGGGACGGAATGAAAGCCATTGAGATCAAAGCTGCAGAGCAAGTGAGGACCCCAGCGGTCCAGGGGCAGAGGGCGGGAGCCTGCCCTCCCGGAGGCTGGGCCTGGACTCCTGCTGCTCCTGGCCAGCCCTGGAGGAGCAGGATGACTGTTCCCGGAAGCCCCCTGGAGGCCAATCCAACAGGTGTCATTTCCCTCCAGGGCTGTTAAACCAGATCTGAACATTAAGTATTCAAGAAAGCCCCATCTGCAAATATTTACCTTTCATTCAGCAGCCCCACGCCCCTGGGAGGCCTGATTAAGACCCCTCTGGGACAGCCCAGCCGCTTGGTGAAGCTGGGAGGTTTCATTCTCCCCTGCAGGCCAGTGCTCGGAGTCAGGGCGTGGCTCTCCCTTCCCAAATCCCAAGACGCCTGCCCACGCGCCTCACCGCAGGTCTCATGCCCTGTGTGTGCACAGGCACACACATGCACGCACACGCCCTCCCACACACTGCGTGTCGACCCCCTGGAAGCTGCTCAGACCACCCAGCTGCTCAGACCCTCGATGAGCTCCTGCAGACAAGTGTAATAGGTGGGTGGGGGTCAGGCCCTGCCTGCTCCACCAGCCCCACAAACACCACCTTGTCCTCAGTCACCCCTCACGCCACAGCAGGGGTAGGCGGGCAGCTGGGAGACCCCAAGCCCTCTCCGGGGACATGTGTCAACCATCCCCCACCCCACGCCTCAGGCCTCCGTACAGTGAGCAGGGGTGGGGGACTCGCCCATTCATAACCGCATGCCAGGGCCTACCTCTGCCCTGGACAGAGGCGAGCCTCTGAGAGGACGCAGCAGGGTGACGGACCATGGCCCTGTTCCAGCTGGGTGACCTTGGACAAGTCACCTCACTTCTCTGTGCTTCAGTTTTGCATCTTTAAATTGGGGACGCTAATAATCCCCTCTAATTCCCAGAGGTGTTATGGACTTGAGTAACCTCTGCAGTATGCAGAGACAGGCCGGTGCAGAGTAAATACCAGGTTCGTGTTGGCCACCATTAGAACGTGATTGTTAGGGTCTTTCTATCCATCCTGAGCTAATCATTACCAAGGTCTATATTTTGCATCAGCAACAGAAAGGACAGGGACTCACCCAGGAAATCCCTCCCTGTACCAGGCACGGCAGGTTACCCCATTATGAAAGACATTCTGGGCTCTCCCACCCTCAGGCAGAGGAAAATGGCCTGGAGGAGCATGGTAACTTGCCCTAAATCACACATCAGTGGAAGGGACAGAAATGGAAACCTCACGCAGGCCTGGGGCCCCTTGAACCCCGGCTCCCACAGTACCCTCTGCCCCCGCTGAGAATGAAACTTGGGCCAGTGTTGTGTCCCTGGCTGGGCTTTGAGGGATGCCGGCCCCACAGGACCCAGCCTGCTGCAGGGCCACCCGCAAACCCATGCAGAGATCTATCCGTGTGCTCCGGGCTCTTCGTGGGGAAGGCACACACACACACAAAATCAGAACAGCCCAGCTAAGCTGAAATGCTCTCCTTGGAGAGGAAGGGAAATAAAATTTGATGAACCTCTGCATAATGTTCGTTATGAATGTGCAAAGTGATATTCTGCACATATGCTGGGAGACATTCATCTTCTCCCACACGGCTGGGACCCAAGCTGTTAGGGACAGTCTGAACTGGGGTGCCCGCAGAGGCAGCTCCTTCTGAGGGGGCGCAGAGAGGTCCTGCTCTCTGCCTCCGCTAAGGGAGCTTGTTGCCACAGACACCCCAGGCAGCGGCTCTCCCACAGCCGAGGTCTAGTGGAGGCGATGTTGGAGGGGAGGGCCGGGACATCAGGCTGTCTCTAGGGCTGCTGCTAACATCAGCCGGGTGCCTGCCTGGACAGGTCACGCAGAGCGTGCTCTGTCCACCGGCCTGGCCTCTTGGCCACAGCTGACTGCCAGGGACTGGACACCTGACCCAGGATATTTGCAGGGTGGCTGGGACGCTAAATCTGCCTGATGGTGGTGGGGCACAAGAGAACACGGAGATGTCAAAGTTGAAGTCGCCAGAGAGAATTCAATCACCACAAAACCCAACCAACAAACAGTGAAAACATATAATGAGCTCACTAGGTGCTGGCCCCATCCAGGGACTCAGAGTACAGCGGGGATAAGACAGCACAGCCCTCGACCACGGGGCTCGTCTACAAGTTATCAGATAGACAAAAAAATAATGCCAGGTGCTATGAAAAAATAGTAATGAGGTCAAGAATGCCCAGGACAGGGTGCATGGGGGTTGAAAACGTGGGCCAAAAGATTAAGGAAGGCTTCCCCACAGGTGACATAGGAGAGGAGACCAGGGTGAGCTGGCCAGGTAAGAATTCCAGGCAGGAGCACAGCAGGTGCAAAGGCCTACTGTGCAGTCAGGCTTGCAGAAAAGAGGCCAGGTGACAGTCAGAGGCCCTGGGTGGCCCCAGTCGCCTCCCTCCATGAGGATCAGCTTTAAATACTTGCACATGCCCCAAATGGCGTCCAACTCCTCAAAGCCGCCCAATTCCACAGATTCCTTTTCCCGTTTCCTCTTCAAATTCTGTCATTAATCCTGGGAATCTTTCAGTTCCCCGCCACTAAAAGGGATTATTGCATGACTAACAGGGAGTTTACTTAGGGAATGATCCCAGGAAATATGCTACACACCTGCCTTTCTGTCCTTCCACTCAGCCATCCACCCATCCACCCACCCATCCAGCCACCCATCCATCCATCCA